TGTACTACAGCGCTGAGGGCGTAGGAGGTGGCGGGTTATTCCTGGCGGAACGCGTCCTCACGCTTCATATCTTAAGGAATCCAGATAACACTCTTTATATTATCACGGAGCCTGAGATGGCGTCGCGTCACCTCATTGCGGCTCTGTGTGACTGCCTATGGCTTCCTGGAGATGTCACTGCGGATGCATCTCACCGATACACACCCGGGCAGCTCCTTCATCGGTGACGGGAAGACATCTTCCTGGAGCGTGGCACAAAAACATGAGAGCTGAACTACATACACAGCACCAGCCACTATACCATATATATATATATATAGCTGAGCCGGAGAGCCCCGGCGCTGCAACGTTCCTTACACATGTACCGGCCACACAAGTTACAGGAATGTAGATCACAGCAGAAAAGCAAAAATACACATTTGTTTTTAAATAGAAATATCCTTTCATCGTTTCACACCCGGCACCATTAGCCCCTTTACCTCCTTCACAGGCTCTTCTAGTGTATTGTTCCCCGGGGGGGGGGCTGGCAGGAGGACTGGAGACCCCAGCAATGGTCAAAGGTGCCCCCCGCCACCTGCCAGTCCTTGTGCTTTCATAGAGGACACCGGCCCTGCACCGTCCTCACCGGTAACTGGAAATGACACTTCTCATTGGCACCACCATGCATACCGCCGGGAGGTAAAAGGGTTAATCTGATACCTTGTCATTAACCCCTTCAAGAGCGCACAGGGTGAAAGTCGCTGCTTGGTGGCGCCCAAGGTGCGCTCACTTTTTTTTATAATTTTGGTACAAAAGGCACAAATTGTCTTGTGAGCTATTTAGCAGCCATATTGCGGCCGGACTGAGGAACCCTAAAGCGGCCGCGCGTCGGGTTCAGTGGCTTCTCGGAGATCTCTGGAGGCCTGGCCTCCTGTCGGCTGAGGGCCAATCGTCCTCAGAAGGTTTCTAAATGTTCATTTTTAATTAAAGTGCATTCTGAATTGAAGAGAAAACAAAGCTATTTGCTGGGTGCCGTTTCCCGGGGCTCCATACATTCTATAGACGTTATACAGAAATACAACGGAAGCGTTCGCCGCCCCCGGCTACGGGCCCGATGAACATATACCATTGCCAGACTCGCTTCCTATTATAATATTGCAAAGGCGCCAATCATCGACTCTTCTTGATTGCTCGCCCCGGAAGACAAAACCGGCGGGGAGGGGGTTAATGACAACATTTCCCAATAAAACACAATCCTCTTATCACCAATAAACAAATACCAGTCATTGATAAATATCTCTGCATATTTATATATGTATATATATATAGATTCTACTCGTAATAAAATTATTTTTCTTTGTTAAATTCATCTGCGAAAGCATCTTCACCTGTCCGGAGTCCTGGAATAAAGGCAGAGTGGGTAAAATTCACATCCAACAACAACACGGGTACTCCCTCCTCCACACATCTCTCACACTTCTTCTCTTCCACCGCTAATACCAATTCTGTGAGCAGTTTTTCATGTTTTATTTTTTGCATGCATCGCAGGAAGTCACAAAACCAGAACGCAAAAGAAACTCTCCGACATTCTTCCCTTTTGTGGAAGTTTTGTTTTTTGTTTTTTTTTAATGCTCAATTTTTCTTTTCTCCCTTTTCTTGACTTTTCCGGCTCCTTTTTACGGATGTTGTTTGGCTGTAACCAGTCAGGACGGCGGCGTCCCTTTTCACATTGGCGCGTTCAGCCTTGTGAGAGTTCTATGTGAGTAAAGACGCGGGCCAGATCTCACAACAGACCCAACCCTCGCCGATCCTTCTTTTCCGACAATAGTTTGTTTTTTTTAGGTTCAATGTACTGAAAACGATATGTTCTATAGACACCACAACCTGATATGAAGAGAGAACACGCTGTGATTTCTCTATATGGCAACAATCTTCATCCACAGACATTCCACACACAGGCACACGCTCGCACACGGCTGCTGTTGTACATGAAGTTTACAGTTCCTTGGCTGTACATGGCTGCGTTTTGGCCATGTGGTGTTTTTTTTTTTTGTTTGTTTTTTCATTATAAATAAAGATGGGAGGACTTTGGAAAAAAAAAATACAAGAAAATAAAGTAAGTGAAGCTCCCAGAAACATAAAAATGAAATAAATAACATACGAGTCTTTTTAGTTGTGTCACTTTAGTTATTTTAAGGCTCTCTCAGGGTGTTAGTGATCACAGGGGCTCTGAGCTGGGTCCACACAGATGGAGAAGAGAGCCCTACAACTGCTAGCTGGAGGTCACTAGACTTTCCGGTTGGTCGGTCGGTTGGTCTGTGTGCATGGTTTTCATGTTTTGACTTTGCCGTCCCCGGCAAACAGAAGAGTAAGTGTGCTTTATATTACAGTTGAGCAGAAAGTTAGCTTTGTCCAGCTTGGGTAGAATGGTAGCAGCTCTCTGTATGTCATAGGCTGATGCTACTGCCGCAGCTTTCACTGGTGACACCGCTGCTTCTACCCTTTACATAATTTATATTTCTACACATCAATGGCAATGTACACTTTGCCGTTGCTGATTGAGTTTTTCTTTTGTCAGTTCACATCTGTATTTGCTTTGATTACATAGATATGAATACTCGCTGTTATTTTTTACACATAATACTCCTTGTCCTTGTTTTTCTGCTTCTTGTGGCCACTTTTCGAGCTATGCTGTTTCTCTTTGACAAGGGCCCCGTTGCTCTGAGCGGAGTTGCTGATGTAATTCCTTGTCTCGTCCACCTGGTAGGACCCCTCGTCCCTGTTTCTGTACTTGTACATGGCATACAGGAGAATCAGGATGCAGAGAGCAGCGGCCGCAACAATGCCGACGACCATTCCCGTCGTGCTGCTGGACTCCCGGACCACCTCAGAAGCCCCCGGGACCCGTCTGCTTCCCGGCATCGTAGGGTTTGCTGTGGGCACATTACGGAACATGGGGGATGTTATTAGCGGACTCCTGAGCTTTGTGCTGTCTAGCTCGTAGGCAGTGGGCAACGGTAGCAAGACTATATCGGGCTGGGGTTTGAGCTCATGGTTATTCATTTTGCCGGCTGGCACCATGGGCACCATCCCAGATGAAGACGTGGAGCGTATCAGCTCAGGGGGCAAACTTGTGGTAGAAGTCCTACCAGGTTCGGAGGCTTTGTTAGGTCTAAAGTCCTTTGATCCCCATTTGGGCGCCTGTGATTTGAAGCCACCATCGAAGAATGATGTGGAAAGGCTCTTATCTGTTACCAAGGAGAGGGTGGTGTAAAAATCTTCGTCATCGGTAGGGGGCAAGTTAGAGTCAAAGGTTTCCCCTGAGCCATACCCCGATATCACCAAGCCATCATCATCATCATCATCACAACCATCGCTGCCTTGGTCCGACAAGCAAGGTAACCCCGCCTCAGGGGTCACAGACAGGGAATCTTTGGTGGTCTCAAATATGGTGAGGAGTGGTCGGAAGGTAGGGGGGAGAGTGATGGAAGGTGTACGTGTAGCTATTGAAGGGGTATCTAAAGGATCCTCTACTAACACTGGTATAACTAATTCACCTCCTAGAATGAGGAAGAAAAACACAAGAAGAAGAAGAAGAAGGGGGAGAGAGAAAACACATAATTAGTCATCGTCATCACAAATACATTCAAGCATGCATGGATGAATAATGGTCTGATGCCTTTATCTCTCCTACACTTATTATTATTTAGCCTCCTTTATATACACGAGTCTTGGCTAGCACTTACTTCTACTCAAATACCCTAAGCCCTTTCCTTTCTCTTTCAAATGTCTCGCTACTTCCACCTGACCTGATTCTAGGCATGTTTGCTTTTTTTAGGAAAAGCCATGTTAAGTTTCCGCACCACACTGAGAAAATAGGTGCTCCCTGGAGTTCCTCAACAATGACCCAACTAAGAACGTGTATGTCAAGTCAAGTGTATGGTATAGTGCAGATTGCGTCCCGTCCTTGTTTTCTCCTCCTCAGATGTAGTAATACAACGATGATCTACCTACATTGTGTCCTGTCCTTGTGTTCTCCTCCTCGTCCTCAGCTGGAGTAATACAACGATGATCTATCTACATTGTGTCCTGTCCTTGTGTTCTCCTCGTCCTCAGATGTAGTAATACATAGATGATCTACCTACATTGTGTCCTGTCCTTGTGTTCTCCTCCTCGTCCTCAGCTGGAGTAATACAACGATGATCTATCTACATTGTGTCCTGTCCTTGTGTTCCCCTCCTCGTCCTCAACTGGAGTAATACATAGATGATCTACCTACATTGTGTCCTGTCCTTGTGTTCTCCTCCTCGTCCTCAGCTGGAGTAATACATAGATGATCTACCTACATTGTGTCCTGTCCTTGTGTTCCCCTCCTCAGCCCTCAGCTGGAGTAATACAACGATGATCTATCTACATTGTGTCCTGTCCTTGTGTTCCCCTCCTCAGCCCTCAGCTGGAGTAATACATAGATGATCTACCTACATTGTGTCCTGTCCTTGTGTTCTCCTCCTCGTCCTCAGCTGGAGTAATACATAGATGATCTATCTACATGGGGCCTGTCCTTGTGTTCCCCTCCTCAGCCCTCAGCTGGAGTAATACATAGATGATCTACCTACATTGTGTCCTGTCCTTGTGTTCCCCTCCTCAGCCCTCAGCTGGAGTAATACATAGATGATCTACCTACATTGTGTCCTGTCCTTGTGTTCCCCTCCTCCTCAGATGTAGTAATACATCGATGATCTACCTACATTGTCCTCATCTAAAGCATCTCCTAAATAGAATCTACATTAATATTTCCTGTCTAAAAAGATCAATGTATCTTATATTTCTTTTGGCATGGACCATAAAACCAAAATAATGACACAATGAAGAAAAGTCCCCCCACCCGAAAATGATGAAAACTTCAACAGAAAAAGAAAATCACCGAAAATAAAAGCACAGCAAATGCAAAATAAATCAAATATCTGAATCACGAAATACCACAAAGAAATTATAAGTGCAAAAGCTTGGAAACAAAAATGTAACTTAAGAAACGAAGTAGAAACTAAAAAGAAGGAAAATGAAAGTTCCCCAACCAAAGAATATAAAAATGAGAACCAAAAATACCACGGGACAAAAAAATGGAAGATCAGAAGTAAAAAAAACGAGTACGTTACTGTGCCGGAGACTTACATCCACATATTGCCCGCATGTTTTTTGGCATGTAAAAAAAAAAAAGTTTACAGAACAAAGTTGTATAAGAATGTCACATGGATACATTCTTCTCAGTTTTTTGTTTTTTTCTCTAATACTTGAACCAAAAACGATGATTTCCAGTTGTAACCTGGAGTCATGATTTGGCTATAATTGTTTCGTATAAAGACAAATGACACGAGTAAGGTGACAAACACAGGACGGCACAAAAACACAAAGAGAAAACTCCTGCACCGGAACCTGATCACACGCGGCTCTTTTCTCTGTGGCTCAAACTCTCTGTGTAGCTTCCTCTTTGTTTTGTTTTTTTAAATAATTTGATCTTTATAGATACATTAAAAAAAAAAAGACTAAAATGGAGGAAAGCCAACTAAATCTCGTTGTTCCTTTTTTTGTTGGGGAGATTTTTGCAGCTAATCGTACTAGAACGGAATATAAAATTGTCTTATCTATAAGGAGCTGATTGGATTATTTTTTTTTGGGGAGGGAAATAATACAAACATCTAATGTATGTAATAAAGAG